ATGACCTGCTTTTAAATCTGAATAAAAATCAGAGCACATGAGATTTGACCTGGGCTTCCTGTGAGCCATACCTCTGACCACCCTCCATTCAAAGGGATAAATAGGTATACCGGCGTACTGTGCTTCTAGCACTGAAGAACTTCGGTCTTTCCCAGATTTTTACTGATGATTTCATGTAAAGGATTTGTTGTTGTTTTGCATTTTGAATGTGGTTCCCTTTTGCTTCCTTCAATAAAACAGGCCCTGACAGCTCTCTCATTCGGATTATTACAGAGTTGTACCATCTCAGGCCAGTGCATTTAGGAAATATGTTGTTGGCACTAACCAGCGAGTGAGATGCATAAAGAAAATATTCTAATGACAGTTGAGTTGAGAAAGCTTTGATCTCCCTCCAGAACTGCACTCATGGCTTTGAAATGCAGTTCTGGCAAAGGGGTAAAGTCTGGGCTCCATGGCAATCAGGGCTGGGCCCCCTGAAACAGACATTCCTGGGGACCCACAACCTTCACTGTGGAATCCAGGTGCATGAGATGTGCAGGAAGAAAGAAACACAGCTTTGAGGAGGGGACATAAGTTTAGCAGGAGCATTCCTGTATAGATTTCCATTTCCAAACAACTGTTAGTTGTGCTGTTAGTGGTGTTTTGGCAAAGAGAGGATGTAGCAGGAGCGGGGGCCTGGGTTTATAGTCAAATGTGATTGAGGACACTTTAAATACTTTCTGTCTTGTTCCCATTTTGTTTAATGTAAGGTTATGAAAATGTTTGCAATCAAAAAGTATAAGGTTCTCAACTTAGTCAGGAAAGCATTTCTTAAGGACAAAGATTTGGTAACTCTTTTCATTTAAATATGTATCTGCTTCCTATGCATTTAGCTTTTAGTAGACTGTAAGCTGGACAGCAGTGATGTAGTTCACAGGCTCATTGAAGAGGTGCAGACTTTAAGCTACAGAGCAGGCCGAAAGCTGTATGTAATGAGGTGTGATATGGACAATACACATGCAAGTATTCCATGGGGGTGTCCAGATCAAGGAGATGAGGGGAGGCCACCATCCCTATCATGATCAGTGTTCTAAGCTATGCAGCCTTACAAGGAATTGTTCCTACCTGAAGCAAGAGGTGATCTCACTCACCAACATAAAGATTCTGAAATCAAAGATCACATGTATATAAGTCTGAAGAGTCAGATACACAGCTAGATCCTTATCATTCTCTGAGATACAAGACCTCAGGCAAATCACCTCACTTCCCTGAGTCCTGAGTCTACTCACCATGGTTTGATCTATGTGATCCAAAGGACAAATACCCACCCAGTAGCTTCAAATCCTTACTATCTCTCTGTGCAATTTGAAGAAAGTTTCAAGAGGCACATAAATTATAATGATTAACATAATTGTTTGAAGCCCATAGTCTCATGAATGAGATGTGTGCTCATAATATGAATAAAACACAAAATAGTGTCTATATCTTCCTTCTCAGCTACTGGTAATGATAAGTTTGGAGTATTGATCACAACACTAACTGATTACAACTCTATTAATTTTATTAGAAGTTAGCCTATACTAGTCAATGTCATCTTCTATTGTTATTAACACCATGTCTCTAGTCTCTCCAACACTCATGATAAGTAGTGTCTCTAATCTATGAAATACAGTTGAAAATGGTCAGGATAGTTACAAGGAGTTCCAGACTTCCCCCAAAGGGGAAGATTTTACATGATTATAATTCAGGAAGGTATATTGTAAAACAGAAGATGGAAGATCACAGATATGCTTAAGGAGGAGCTATACTTAAGAAACACAGAGTGGGCTCTGGGTAATGATACTTTGCCATCTTGCGTGACTGAGGTTGCAAAAGGAAAAAGGCATTTGGGAAAAAGATATTGGAACCTGAAACTGGGAGAACAATGTGGAAGGGAATTGGCAGCTTCACTTAAGGAGGGGGAAGTAAGGGACTAGAAAAATGGGAGGAGCTATATTGTGTGTGCTACCATTTTGCTGACCTGTCTCAGAGCTAACAGGCTTGTACAACAGCAGTAGGTCCTTCTGTTCTCTGCTGTGTAACAGTAGCAGCATGTAAGTTAGTGAACAATGTTTAGAGTTATTTTGTTTTCTTCTATGAGGTAGAAGTTATTTTCTTAATAATTTTGTCAAATTTGAAATACATGTAACAAGGCTAATGTGTTAGCTGCTTTTCTTATCACTGTGACCAAAATACCTGACAGATACAGATTATAGTTGAAAAGATTCATTTTAGTTCATAGCATTACAGGGCTAACTCCATGTTGCTTGGCTTCCTACTGCTTAGGCAGAGCATCAGGAAGCAGGCACATGTGGTGGAAGAGAGATGGTTACCTCATGACAAGCAGAAAGCAGAGAGAAGGAAAAAGACCAGGTATAACCTTCAAGTACCCTCTCAGTAATCTTTTTCCTCCAGCTAGTCTCATCACTTCTCAAAGTTTCCCAAATTGTTCCAAGAGCTGAGGACCATGTGTTGGCAACAGAGCCCCTGGGCATCTCATATCTAAACTGTAACTGCTAGTCTTTCCATAGTTGCAAAACAGAAAGTCAAGAACAAAAAAAAGTCATTTTCTTTTGTTCAGGTTAAATATCCCTATACTATAATCTTCTAAATTTTCTGCCTCTGGTGCCTTCTCTTCCATCTACTGCCTAAAGTGAAGAGTAAAAACTACATAATCTTCAAGAGATAAGCAGATGGATATGATAAAGAGCCTCACAGACTTCTGTGTTGAAAGGCTCCCTGATGCCTTTGGGAGACATCCAGCTTAACTCTGCATTGGTGGAAGACCTCGACAGAGGGAAATCTTTTAGTAACAAAGCTACTTTTCCCGCTGGGTAAATTCCCCCCAAACAAGAGAGACAGGGAGGAGAAAGGCCAGTGGGTCCAATAGCCTAACGCCTTTTGAGAGATGGAGGCTTCCCAGGAATGAGAAAACCCCACATACTAGCCAGGAAGAAGATCCAACAACCCACATTTCTGCTTTGGGCTAGGATGAATATCATCTCTTGAAAACATTGGCTCTACAATTACTACTGAATAAACAACCAATTAAAATGTCTCCTATTACAGTGTGTCTTCCCCTCATGAAACTTTTTCATCTCAGACTATTTCTCTAATCAAGTATGTCTCTTATGCCTAAGAAATAGTTGGAGGGAAAGGGGCAAATTGGAGAGAGAGAGAGAGAGAGAGAGAGAGAGAGAGAGAGAGAGAGAGAAAGGAAACAATGTGGAAATTGTTGCTCCAAGAAAAATCTAGGCTCCTCTGTATTTTCATTCTCTTCTCTGTATTATTTTTCTCTGCCCCATGGGCTGGGGGCAGCTTAAAAGAAAAGGAGAATCAATATTTTAACTTATAATGCTATCCGAGAAATTAGGCACTATAAGCCTGTGTTTGCTATCTCTATAATCTTTTCTTCTGACTAATCATCAAACTGAAGATCATATGGACATTTGGCCTCATACAGACCTGTGATGGAAGTGGCCAGAATGCAGTAGTTGTCATATATTTCAATGTGGAGTCATTATGAGGAAATGTAGCCTCTGAGTCAGGAAACACTAAACCTGAGACCACGACCTAGGTATTTTAGCTTCAATATTGGTCAATTTAAACTCAACTCTATCAATTTTTATTGAGGGCTCACTAGATATAAAACCCTTAGCTGAAATCTAGGTACCAAGAGACAAACACTCAGATGCCCTATATACTCAGATACCCTAAGAAGACAGTACATAGTGTATGTCAAGAAAAAAACATGGACACATTTCTAATCCCACCCAACAGTGACTGTCAGCTACTCATAAAGATTCCTAAAACACAGGATGACAGACAAGAGACAAGAGAGGTAGCATTGAAAATGAGTGCAAAATAATATATCTGTCTAACCAAAGCAGAGAGCAGAGGCAGCTTCCCACACCTAGCATTTGTGCTCTGGCAAGTGAGTCTATCCAAGGCTATTATTGGATAATCCAAGATAATTTCTTGAGCATACAGAATATGCGTCTCTTTTTTAACCCCCGCAATCTCATAGCTGGATCTCAATGTCTCTCTGTCTCCCTCCTCTCCCTTGTTCTCTGTCTCCTTCTCTCTCTCTCTCTCTCTCTCTCTCTCTCTCTCTCTCTCTCTCTCT